ACATCTTTAGAATTTTTTCAGCATGTTTTTAAGATATAGTGATGTCTTTAGAACGTCCCTTGGAAGTCTGCTTGTCTGGGATTACTTTAGGATAAATTATTAAAAGATAAAATATTCTATTCATATTAAGATTATAAATCTGCAGAAAATATATATTTCATATAAAATATTATATAAAATACATACAACAAATACATAAAATAAATTTACATTTTACTTACTGCATACAACTAATAATATATTACACTTTAACTTTCTGATGCATACGTATCTTAACTTTGTAAACTTCGTCGGTATGCTTTCACTGCTTATACATCATCACGCTTCAATTGGCTTTCGTTGATCATTTTTAATGGACGTAGGATTCTTATGTCAAATGCCAATTGTCGTATAACCATAAAAATTAAAGTCACTATAAGAAATTCTACTCACTTTGTACATAATATGCGAGTGTAGTATCCCATATAGCACAGCAACCTTACAGCAACATTGCAGCATCATTGTTTTGCAATATTGTGACATTGCAACAACGTTGCAAAATGTTGCTGCAATGCTACTGCAACGTTGCAGCAACGGTAAAATGTCCGCTTACAGCAATATAACAACGCAACTGTGTAGCAACATTGCAATTCAATATATATGTAATATTATTAATATGTTTTATTATACAAAGTAAAACCTAAATAACATCTTTACAGGAATATCATACTGATAAATACTAAAAAATTATTAGTGATTATATATTATATATTACCAGTAATTCAGTAATTTTTTCGTCAGTACTTAATTTCTGGTGAATACTGAAATTAAAATCACTATTAAATATTGATAGTAATCAAATACTGAGAATTATTGTGCGAATGTGAAAAATGGGAAAATCATAATATTTAAAAAAATATATTTATAATTCCTAATTTTCTTGTGTCTCATAAACCACTAGGTATCGAAGATTGTCAATACACAATTACAAACTTTCATGAATTTTCCTCGATAATTTCGATCCCAAGTGGTATACTACCGATCACCCATCTATGTCCTAACTCCGTTAAAGTGTTGCTTAAACCTGACGATCGAGCGGCACGCGGCGATTCCCAATGACTCCAATGATATTCTTACGATTTGTGTTTATATAATTTACCCTTATAGTATATTATAACCCAGTATATTATACCTAGCAAACATCAAATAATAGTTATATAATTTTTACTTGGTGTTCATTGGATAATTTACTGATAGATATTGAAACAACGCAACAACACTCGATATGAGATGAATATTGATGTAATGTAGTGAATCAGTAATAATTACCTTTAGATTTTTAACAGAATGTTATAATGATTAATCCAAACCAAAAAAATAAAAAATCCAAGAAAATCCAAATTAAACAAATCAAATTACTAAATTTTGAAAGAAACTTTTATAAAATACTATTTAAAACAATAATGTTTCATGAAATGACATAATTTTTTTGAAATAAAAGTTTTTATTTTTATCATTTCAAAAAATGATATTTCGTTTAAGAATACCCTTATAGAAATATACTAAGAATCATTGATAATTACTTATTATCTAGTATTTTTAACCCTTTGGGGACGAGTGTCGGCATATAGCCGCCCAAGCCATTTTACCGTTCCGGACGCGTGTCGGCATATAGCCGCCCAAATTAGTTCGTAGCTGCAAGGCTCGCGACGTCTGTTGTTCTGAGCGATAAGATACGCATAGGTATAGTAAAAGAGTCACGTTTTCATTCAAAGACATTAGGGGCCATTAGCGATAAAGTCTTATCTTCCTTATAGCCCGTCGAGCGGCTCCGTCCCCAAAGGGTTAATACTGAAAATAAATAATTATCAATGATTCTTAGTATGATATTTCTATAAGGGTATAATATTTTAATGGAACAAAAAACCACAAAATTAAACAAGTACGAATATTAAATCTAAAGAAAGTATTTTCTCCGGAAAAACGGTATAAGAAGTTTAAGAAATATGTAATAAGATAAATTCTAATATTAATACTGCCACTAATTAGTACTATTCTAAGTATTATTCTATAAGCACTATTGATGTCAAACATTACTGAATTTGAAATATAAGTAACAAAAATAACTAGTAAATAAGTAAATAAGTAACAAAAATTATTAGTAACTAAGTAGAAAATATTATATTATATTCGTCATATTTCTGAAATAGTGCTGCAATATCGCTAAAGTAATATTGCAAATTAATATTACTGCAATGTCTCTGAAACATTGCACTGCAATATGCAATCTTGTAACATTGTAGCAATGTTGCTGCAAGCTTCTGTGCTGTATGGGATTAATTATGTTTCACATTTAAACCACATCGCTTGATGCTTAAAAATTTTCATAGAAACTTACACAATTTACATGTAAAGAAGAACATATACGAGCAAACTGAAAGTTGACGTGATATATTTCACGTTTTGAGAATTCACCTTTCACGGTTAACGTTCGTCTCATTTATTAAATTTACTCATATTGTATTATTATATTATATTATAACTATAAATTTAAGTTGTATAATGCTTATTAATGTGTTAAATATTACATTGTGTATACTGTAATTACATTTTAATTTTAATAATCTATATTATATAAATATTGCTTTCCACATTTTCATTATTTACTTTTCATGTGAAATAACTTAC